GCGACCAATATGCCGGCTCCGCCAGATCCGGAGACCCAAAGGCCGGAACGCATGGTCGTGAATATGCATAGGCCTTTGGCATTCTGGATGACCTTGGAGGGTATCTTCTTGAGGACTCGTTGTTTTCCCTTGGGGACGTCGGTGGCGATGGGTCGGTCTTCTTCCTGGTAGAATCCATCCTCTGTGGGCGTGTTAGTACTTGGCGGGACGCAGCGGAAGTTGACGTACTGCAGAAGCTTTTGAGGATCCTCGCAGCCTTGTCCGACTCGATGTCTAGCGTTGTAGGCCAGAAGGCTTCAGAGCCGACCTTGTTGGACAGTCGATTGACGGGGGCACCGAGCTTGTCAACCCACGTGTAGACCTTGTCGAAACCTTGCTTTGACTGCGTCTTCGCGGTGGACCAGAGCGCCATGATGGCGGGCTATGGATGGGCAGCACTACGTCAGAGGTGGGCCGAGGGGTATGAGTGCGCAGCAAGCAGCATTACACATTAGAGATGAGAAGCATTCAAGTAGGACAACGCGCACGAGGAAAAGGCAAAGAGTAGGGTCAGGCGACGGAAGCAGCGGGTGTGGTCGACCAGCGGGCTCCAACCGTTTTTGAGTCGCACGGTACGTCAGCTGTAGGCTAATGCTGGCGGAGGCTGGCGACGGCGCAGTCTAGCATCGGGTACCTTAATAAGGAACCCTAGGCATTACCAAGTGATTTGACCCCTGCGCTCCACGACTCGACAAAAGACTTAGTGACGGTGATGGGATATTGATTTACCAGAAACAGCCCGTAGCGGGGTTGAACACGGGTGGCAGCCACACCATCTCGGGGTATGCACGCCGCCTGATTCGTTGTGAAGGCACGCTTTCATGGCGCCGCCACCAGGAACGAGCAGAAAAAACCAAAAGTCAAGACAAGCGGGATGAACTAGGCATGCGTCGTGAATCATGCGCACGTGTCGTCGAGTCTAGATAGCCGGGCGGGTCTGCAATCTAAAAGCAAGCTGCGAGCAAGACATCCATGGACGCAGGTGCCGCTCTTGCACGGCGCGCGCACTTTGTGAAGCCGGGGAAAGGTTTCGCCGGACGCCGGCCCGCGGACGCGCCAAGCCCAGCGCGTCGCTGGAGCTCGTCCAGAGTTTATGTTTTGCGACCGCGACAGTAGCTAGACCGAGAACAATCAAATCCCTTCACCACGCGAGATAATTCATTACGGCGCATGTGCGGCGCAACGTGTGAACTGGGAAATTAAGTGGAGAAAATACCTTGGTTTTGGATCCCTGTTCGCCTGTTCCACCGCGTACCCAGGTAAACTTGCGACTAGAGAGCAATGTTTCGTGGACCACCGTCAACACCCGGCCGCAGCTACTACGACGACAGCCTACACGCCCCTTCGACCACACCCGCTGGCGCTCCACCCCTAGACGAATCGCACTATCCCTCCTCAACACCAGCTGGCCCGCCGCCAGGCATGAACCAAGGACTCTTCGGCAATGCACGCCCAACCTTCAACCCAAACAGCTATGACTACGCCAGCAACTCGCTGTTCGGTAGCTCACCGCCCAAGGGAAGCATGTTTGAAGGCAATGGGCTCGGCTCAATAGGCACTTCGACTTCCGGACGGCCCCCAACACAACGCGGACGCATCGCAACTTCTGGCCAGTTCCAAGCGCCCACACACACCCTACACCAGGACGCGGAAGGCGAGTCGGAAGAGGAGTACACGGATGAAGACCAGGAAGAAGATGACGACATGGACGAAGATGAGGGCACCGAGGAGGACGAGCCGCTCTCACCGCAGCGCCGCAACAAAACACAGAACAGGTTCTCCCAGTCAATCGTGTCGAGAACAAGCGCAACCGACATGGAGCCAAGTCCAGCCTTGGTGCGGTCAGGCGCAAAACAGACGCGATTCGATCTCCTTGCGCTCGCCAAGGGCCTGACTTCCCATAGCGAACGACACGCTCTGCGCGAGACCGACCAAATCATATTGGAGACGGAGCGTCTGGTCGAGAAAGTCCATGAGTCTCTTCAGTCAGACTCGCCAGACAAGCGGACTGAGGTGATTGGCACAGTCGCTCAAGAGTTGATCGCGACTTGGCCAGATGCACACAAGTCGACTTCACAAGAGCTGTCGCAAGCCCGCCAGCTTGCCGCTCTTCTGCTGACCCTTCACAACCCCCCACAGATTGGCCTAAATCAGCGAGCCTCCGCCCTCTCCCTCGTAGCGCGAATCGATTCGAAACAATACACACCCATCCCGCGAGTGCTGCTCGACTGGCTGAACAGCACATTCCCTCAGGTCGAGGCCGAAGTGGTGTTGAAGGAGACCCGCGGATATTCAAGACATTCCTCTTTCTGGGAAGCTGTTCATGTGTCTATTGTCCGGGGCAACTTCTCGCAGACGATGAGACTACTTCAGGGCGCTCAGCTTGAGCACGCCGAGACAGCTCAACACGACGGATTGGGCACTTCAGGTTACGTCGGGTCACATCTCTCATACGCAAACCACGCGCTTCGTCAAGCAATCGATCTCCTCCGGGAATGTCCAGCCATCGCATCGGAGGATTGGGACATCAAGGGACACGATTGGAGCATATTCAGGCAGCGCGTTCACCAAGTGAGTGCTGGCTTGGAGGAGTTTGCCGAGGGCGAAAGTGTGAGCCGACACTCCATGTCTCAGCCTTTCCAGGCGGCACATTTCGGCATCTCGCAAACCCAGGCAAGCTTCCAGCTCAGTGTGGCCAGTCGCAAAGCTGAGAGTAAAGTGCCCTGGTCCGTGTATGAGGCTCTTAGCATGGCTTACAAGCTCTTGCTGGGCGATGAAGAAACAATCCTTGAATTATCGGCGGACTGGATCGAAGCAGTAGTGGGTCTGAGCGTCTGGTGGAATGGAGAAGAGGAAGATTCCGGACAGGGTAGTCTGGCCGCAAGCCGTCGCTCCATCATGCGGTCTCAACGAGTTCGCCCTGTCGACGTGACTCCGGTCAAAGCGTACTGCCAACGGCTATCTTCCGCGTTGGCGGCTGTCATCCAGAACAGCGACGAAGACTTCAGTGTCAATGCTGTCGACCCTTTCGAGGTGGGCGTAGCATGTATACTTGATGACAACATCGAGGGCGCTCTCCAAATCCTGCAGGGATGGTCCCTCACCATGGCTTCTGCGGTCGCGGAGCTTGCCAGTGCAGGAGAGTGGTTTACCAGCGCAAAGGGCCTGATGGATCACTTCGACCAGAGTGATCTGATGGTCCTGAGCTACACTGAACAGCAACAGCCGAAGGGTGTGAGAAAAGACGACATACTGATTGCCTACGCCAATTTGTTGCCTGCCAGGGGCGAACTCGAGGCTAGAGACGGCCAAACATCCAAAGAAGGATGGGAGATCGCGGTGCAGATTCTCGGTAGACTGGACGACGGCATCACAGCAAACGAGCGCATTGAGCGGATACTAAACGATTTGCAACTCGAGTCTTCAGCTCGTGTCGACAAGATCACCCAGCTTTGCCATAACTTGGGCCTTTCACAGCATGCCGTCATCATCGCTCAGGTAAGTCATGAACAAGAATACTTCCGGATACAAGCTGACAGTTACAGAAATACGCCGACCATCTCCGCACCAACACCGAGAGCTATGGCGACACACTGCTCTACTACGCCCGTGCTCACGACGCACAAAAGATTCAAGAGGTGCTACGAGTCTTGGTCGCCCACTGCCTTATCAAGTCGACAGCCTATCCGCCTCTAGATGAACTAGACGAGTCACTTAACTCGCTCATTACTTCACCAAAGCAGACCCTGACAAAACTCGCAAGCCTAGACTCCGAGGCAGCTTCCCTCCTTTCAAACCACCTGAGCGGTTACGCAACAATACGCAAATACTACGACCTGCGAGATGAAGAGGTGTTGCTGAAGCCCGGAGAGAAGCCAGCACATCGACCCATGGCACGGAAACGAGCTGCAGCCAATGCTCTCATGGTCATCATCGCCAGTGCGTCATCTAGCATCCGTGGAGGACTGTACGATCCAGAGATAGAAACTGTGGTTCAAGTCGACGTTCTCCTACCGTTGCTAGGCGAAGCACTCATCTTTGTCAACCAACCCAAGCGCACATTGACGCTTCGCCACCTGTACGACCTCCTCGCAGCCATCGAAGACCTTGACACCGCACCCAGCATGATCCGAACGCAATGTGAGGAAGTACTTGCGACTACCCTCCTCTCCGCACACGACCCCAATGCCTCTCAACAATTATCGAAATCGACATCGAATTTGACGACAGCGTCAAGCCAATATTCGCTTATAGGCTCAATCGATTTCGGCTCCGCAGATGGTCAGAGTGCAGAGGGCTCGACGGTCTTTGTCAAGGGTGGACACGTAGACGATAGTAAGCGTGGGTGGGACTGGCGGAAAGGCTTCCCGAAGGGTGCAAAGAGTGAAGATATTATTGCGGTGCTAAGATTGGGTGTTGCGAGGGAAATTGGCAGAGCTTTTGCTGAGGGAGAGGTCACAGCTTAGATGTCTCGTATGGAGAAATGATACCACTATGTAATAGTAGAAAGCGACTTGGCTGTGGCCAGTATAGATGATACTTGGACATTGCATCCTCTCACACTGAAGAAGCAGCGTTCTGTTGACAACATGATTGAGCAATCGTGAGCGTTGTTGACAAAGGTACGTTGATTTGATAACACGCAAGAGGTGTTATACCGTATGCTTGGATGACTTCATCACCCCGCAAACAAAGATAGTGTTCACAAGCATCTTCCGTGTAAAGAGGCTGTAATGGCTGAGGTGAGCTTACCCGAACCCAAGCTTCGACGTCGAACACCGCCAACGCGTACCTCGGTTCCGCGTCTCCCCGCATCATCAACGCGACAAGCACGTCCACGCTCCCGGACAACACGGGGTACGTACGTACCACGCGCATGTAACCAGCATTTAATTCCCCATAACATCACCTGTGTCTGTCATCCACTCACCCGTCCAAATCAAACCAAAACTTCAGCCAAAATGCCCCCCAAAGAAACCCCCCGCCACAAACCCGACATCCTCCTCCCCACCTCCTACAACGACCTAAAATTCACCCAAATCCGCACTCAGCACCACGAAAAAGAACCCTCCGTCATCATCCTCACATTATACAGACCCGGAAACCACAATGCCTTTACCGACACCATGCGCGCGGAGATCGAAAGCGCATACGGCATGTTCGACGCAGACGAGCGGGTGAAATGCATCGTCGTAACAGGAGATGGGCGGATCTTCTGTGCGGGCGCGGATCTGGATGAGGGGTTTGGGGAGGGGGTTAATGGGGCGGATGCGGAGAGGGTGCAGGATCATCGGGATGGGTATGTTGGGTGTTTTTATTGTTGTGCTGGTGATATGTTTCGAATCGCTTCCTGCGATCAAAGAGAACGAAACTAGGTTGGTCATATTGACAAAGAAGAGTGTGCTAACAAAAGAAACATTCAGAGGCGGACGCGTAGCCCTAGCCATCCATCATTGCCGCAAGCCTTCCATCGCCGCTCTGCAAGGTTCCGCAGTCGGGATTGGCATCACCATGACGCTGCCTATGAACATCCGCATAGCCTATGCATCGGCGAAGATAGGTTTTGTTTTCTCGCGCCGTGGACTCATCATGGAAGCGTGTTCTTCCTTTTTCTTACCCCGGTTGATCGGCCATAGTCGCGCTATGCAGGCCGTGACGACAGGCAGCACCTATCTTGCTAGCCACAAGATCTGGGATGGCTTGTTTGCGGAGGTGTGCGACAAGGCGGAAGATGTGTTGCCGAGGGCGCTCGAGGTTGCAGAGGACGTGGTGAAGAACACGAGCGGCGTGAGTACGTATCTGATGAAGGAGCTGATGTACAGGGATGCGGGGAGTCCTGAGGGTCAGCATTTGTTGGATAGCCGGGTCATCTACGAGTTGTTTGGATCGCCGTAAGTCCTCCTCGCTACCAACTGGTATCCACAAACTGACTAGCCACAGGGATAACACTGAGGGCGTAAAGTCCTTCATGGAGAAGAGACCGGCGAATTTCACGGGGACCATGGACAAGACAAATGTGACAGGATACCCGTGGTGGATGCCGATAGACACACTGGGAAGGCCAAAGGTGGCGCCAACAGGGAGGGCGAAGATCTAATCGCATGTTAGAAAATGGGTCGAAATGCAACATGTACTGCTCAAGTGTATTGGCATGACTTCATTGTCTATCGTCCAACTCATCCCTCGGTATCGCCTTTGTTCAACGTCCCTGCAAGTATCGCCTTCACGCGCGTGGCTAGCTAGCACCTCAAACTGCATCACGCGCACCGACGGCCGAATGGAGGTATCAGGGATTTTCATTCGTTCCTAATGTACTTCTTTTCGTGAAGCATGCATAACCGAGGGAAACCCATAACATCCCTTCCCATCCAGACCGCACTCCGTAATGAGAAACACGCTTAGAAGAAAGTGGATGGTCGGGTAGAGGAGAAGACCTTCTTTCCAACCTTCTTGTTGATGCGGTGGGGCAGCGGGAACTTGAGGTTCTTGGTGAGGAGCTGCTTGATGTATGGGCGGCGGAGGTCGTCGGCCTTCTCGACCTCAACAACCTTGAGAATCTAGATTGAGTGTGAGTGATTTGACGCAGGCGGCTGAGTCGATTTGATCATACCTGAACGGACCTGAAGCGCGATCGGTGACGGGCGGCCATATCCTGGTACAGGGCATCGACGGCGGCGACACGGGACATCTCACGGTACTCCTTGTACATGTTGTGGGTACCGGAGCGCGAGTCGTACTTGAGCCAGATACCGAAGTTCTTGACCTTCTGGGGCTTCTTCTCGTGGATCTGAACCGGGTCAATTTGTTGTTGCGCAGTCTTCTGCCGCCTCGACATACCTGGTTTACGGAGACGATCTCACCGTTGGCCTTCTTGATCTTGCGGAGCTTGCCAAGGAAGTACCAGAACCGCGACTTGGCGACAACCTCGTTGGTCGCAAAGATACGCATGCGGTAGATCTTGGGCGAGGGGTTGGTCTCGCTGGGCAGATGGCGCCCGATGATCTGGTATTCCTGGAAGCGTGCTGAAGCATCGTCAGTACTGCTTCAATGACAATCTTTTCTCTTAGTCCAGCAATTGCAGCAGTCGCGGTTGGGGAAGGCGGTCGTATTAGGGCAGTCGAGTACGGTCGTATTCGAGTTTGTCGCATGCGGACGATCTCGCGGGCTTCGCTGCCATCGTCACAAGTCTTCGGCGATGTTGGCCTGTCCGTTGTATGTGCACACCACCAAAGCTCCTTCCCACTCGGTCCAGCTTCGTGTCGGTTCATCGCGATGGTGAGAGACGGTCATGGTCGCGCTGGCCTGGTTCGAAAATTCCATCGGCTGCAATTGCTGGACGGGACGGTGTTGCGGACGAAGAAAAATTGCTTACCCATCTGCGACTGGTTAGCGGGCGGTATGGGCATGAGCTGGCGACGTAGACTGACCTTGATTGTGCTGTGAGGTTAGTACCTTGAGTTGAGAAGTTCAGTCAGGTCGTCTCCATCGTGGATTGACAAGCGAATTCGACACCACCTTGTGCGCGCTAGCCGAGTTGAGCAGGGGCCCACAACAACTTGGCGGCAGGCGCTATGGACGTCGGCGAACAAACAGCCCAAACACCCGACCACCTCGAGGACCACTAGAACACCCACCAGTTGGTTCTCAGCAAATAATCCGCACCATGTCAAAGGGCTGAGAGTGCCAACTGAAGTCGCGCAAACCTTCAGATCCACGCGACAACCGACATCCCACAATCCCATCCGAATCCCTCAAAGCCACCATGCAAGCTGCACTCGTGCCTTTCCACCAGGCACTGGCCAGTGGCCTTGCGCAACCCGTCGCAGACTTCTTCAGTCCAGTCGCACCCGCGCATGACCCTGGCCGGCTATACGACTTCTACCGCGCCTCCAGTGACGAGAAGATCGAAGGCGATGTTGTTTATGCGCTCGAACAGCGAATGAACCCCAAAAAGGCCAAGGCCTCTCCCTGGGTTGATATCATTGCTACTTATTGGCGCGCTGTCAAAGAGATCATCAAGACCGATGAAGCAGCGAATCTAGGCAAGCTGAATGAGCGTCAATACCTGGCAGTGTACGATACGTGGAAGGACCTGACGAGCATCTTCATCAAGCACATATCTGGTGGACTGCTACCAGCATGGGCCATATTCACCCTGTACTTCACTGCGAATCATCTTAGGAAGATAGCAATCAAAGCAGACGAGCAATTGGCCAAGTCGAAACCAGCAGCTCTCAACACCGGCTACTCAGACGATATCGTGAGCACAGCACCTCAGAATCAGAAGCTTGAAGAAGCTGCGCGAGTATTCAACAGGATCTTTGCCCTTTGTCTTGGTGACAGGAACCCCGACATGTCACAATCGCGAAAGTGGGGTGTATATTGCATAGCCAACCTTCAGTTCAAGACGTATTTCAAAGTAAGCCCTATCGCAGTCTGCGTGGTGTAACGACAGCTAACGCGCATGTATCCAGTTGAAAGCAATCAGCTTATCCAAGAACGTTGTACGATCGATCGAAGCACAGTCCGACCTACCTACATTTGAACTGTACCCGCGAGCGCATAGAGTCACATACAAATACTATCTTGGAGTGCTGGCGTTCCTGCAGGAAGACTACGCCAAGGCAGAAAGCAGCTTGCAGCAAGCATGGGAATCTTGCTGGTCAAAGTCGCAACAAAACAAATCGTGAGTTAGGGCAATCTAACGGACAACTCCTCGGAACTAACAGTTCAGGCTCATTCTCACATATCTTATCCCTTGCCGCCTAATCACTCAACACAAGGTTCCCACCGCCAGCCTACTCGCCGAGGCCCCTCGTCTAGAACGCATTTTCGGCCCCCTCGTATCCTGCATAAAACGAGGCGATCTTACGGGCTTCGACAAGGCACTGGCAGAAGGCGAGCCCGAGTTTGTCAGGCGGCGCATCTTCCTTACTCTGGAGCGGAGCCGCGACATCGCTTTGCGCAACCTTCTCCGAAAGGTTTACCTCGCTGGTGGCTTTGACGATCTCAAAGAAGGACAGACGGAGAAGGACCGGATACGGAAGTCGCGAGTACCGCTAGCAAACTTTGCCGCCGCGCTCAGGATGGGTATTGCAGGCGAAGGCAGCGGCCAAGCAGTGGAGGACGACGAGGTCGAGTGCCTATTGGCAAACCAGATTTACAAGGTGCGTACGCTATGCCCCAGCGTTGGGCTTCTATAGGTCTTACCCGGCTCTGAGGCAGCCTCGTCACGGATGTCACACCAAGAACCCACTCGGCTAACCCAGATTGCAGGGTCTGATGAAAGGCTACATCTCGCGCGAACACGGCATGGTAGTCATGAACAAGAAGGGCGCATTCCCGGGAACAGGGGTCTGATGCCTAAAAACGTCGGCCTGCTCCCGTCTACCATACAGATCAACTCCTTGCTCTATCACAATCACGAACCACGACACGTCACTGTCCAAGCCGGGAGGAGATGCGCGGTCGCATGTGTAAGCAGCCTCGATGCGCATGGAACGACGATGTGCGATGCACCACACCATCGCGCCAAGTGGGGATTGACGACGAAGGAAGGCAAGTTGAAATCGCCAATATCTCAATAAATGCTACCGATCTGCCTCAAACTTTGATTCCCTGGTATTTCCTTTATCTAAACCCTCCCTTGCATGCTTCGTGAGACGCGCCGGCTCTTCGACGCGGCCAGTGACTGGTGCAGGACCCCAAGCCGCGTCCCGCACAGACGCGCTGTCGCCCTCTCAGCTGATATCGCGTTGCAGGCCCCCGCCCACACCCAATCCGCCGCCCTGTCCATCTTTACCCCACTTGCACTACCAGCCCAACGCGACGCGACGCGATACATTGCTTCCGCCTCGCTTCGACGTGCAGATGGTGTCCTTGTCGCATCTTGCATGAACAGCGAAGTATGCCGGCTGAATAACTGTGACTGTACCAGCAAGTACCAGTACCACGCCCAGTCCGCGCATGTGGAGCGTTTGACAAGATGAGTCAACGGGAAACGATCGGCGGTGTTCCCTCGTCTCCATGCCCAGTCCTGCTTATCCACTTGGCTTTGTCTTCGGGCATCGTTAAGGCGCTGCATTCGTTCTCCATCCCGCTTTGTATGGTTCATCCTGGACTGGCGTCCTGTATAGCGTTCGCCGACGCACCTCAGCTCACGGCTCACCCTTTCTGTCTTTCCTTCTTTCCTCCTGCTTCCGCTCGCAGCCCACATGCTTTAGTCGCAATGTACCGTGCTGCTTTGCCCCGGAGTTGTCCCACCTAGAGCGATTCGATGATAGACTTCACTCCGCGTATCAGATTATGCGCGAACTTGGTAGCGACGTTGCCCCCCGTTTTACTGTTGTTCTTATGGTTCTTGTGGTATTTGCGATACTGCTTTGGAACTTTCTTGCCTCCGACGCGTTTTGCGCCGATGGCTTGGGCTGAGTGTCGAGGTGGTTTTTCGGGGAACATGGCGGTGGCTTTGTGTTGAGTTCGTTGCGTGGTGTGTAAATTCGAGAACAAATTGATAAGCACTGCGGTTATGGTGATCACCGTGGCTATCGTGTCACCAAGTCCACATGCGCTTGGTTACCGTTCCAGCTATATACTTGGAGGTTGTGATGTGTGTGCTGCGTAGATGCCGTGTTGCCGGCCAATGATATCAGCCAAGCCAGTGTGGAGACGGAGGATCAAGGCTGAGCAGCATGGTCGCTACGAGCAGTTGGAGGCCTAAATGAATCACTGCGCCATGCGCCATCACGTCAGGTTAGATACGGTAATTCAGAATCCAAGCGTAAGTATTCGTGATATTGTATGCTATCATTAATCGCTTGAAACAAATTACGAAAGATGCGACCATATCCTGTTACAATTTGATGCTGCTGTCCTGCAGATAATACTGCAACAATTGTGGAGAAGGGACTGGCTTCCATAAAAGAGAACCAAGAACGTGACGAAGAACATGAGTAAAGCGCAACCAATCTGGTGACTTGAACAGCCAGGAAGTGTTTTCTGTCTTGAGATGCAGAGAGGAAAGTTGAACCAATGCGAAAAGGCCTGCGCATCTAGGCAATTTTGAGGCCGATAGAGAAGACGCGAGAGATAAGGAAAACCAAGCCAGGTAAAGAGATAAGTATAGTACAACAGTGGCGTGAATGAGTGCCAGAAAGGTATATCCAGACCGTAACGCCGTGCAGCAACAAACCCACACTGAAGCAGAACCCAGTAAAGAAAAGGCATAGCCGCGAGGCTGCAACGCAAGGTGTATATACAAGAAGGTCAAGAAATAGCAGATGAAAAGAGTCATTAGTTGGGGGCGATGAAGAGGGCAAGCTACTCAAGGGAAGCTCGAAAGGATCAAATGCGATGGCAGCAACTTAGTGCGGCGACTTCGCTGAAAGGTCGTCCATGTGATTGACCATGGCAACGAACAAGTCGAAGAAGAGCTTGCCGCCGTTCTCCATCTCGTTCTGCATTGTGCCGCTGCGCTTGAAGGTGTGTCGGGCGCGGATGATGAGCGCGAGGTAGTGTGCGCGAAGCTTGGAGTCGTTGTCAGGAGTGTTGGCATATGCGTAACGGGCGGAGGTCAAGATAGTTGAGCATTGGATGCCAGATTGGAGGCCTTGCTTCTTGAGCGCAAGCTTCTTCAGTTCCTGAAGTCCGTACTTGTCGGCTTGACAGTAGATGACAGTGTCTTTGAGGATCGGTCCAACCGAAGACTGAACGATGGCTTCGTGGGCGTTGTTGGCGTTTCCACCATCTTCAAGGTTCCAGCTGTTTCGCTTCTTGTCATATTCCATGCGCGGGTAGTAGTCGCCCTTGTAGAGATATTCGAGGATCGATGAGAAGACTTCGGGCTCTTCGTCGGGTAGGTCGATGCGCTTGTTGGTAGACTGGAAGAACTGACCGCTGCAGAGAGTCTGGAACCAGGGAGAATGCGATAGAACGTCTTCGTGCGCTGCAAAGAGTCGCTGCTCGCGGCCGACGGAGATAGTGATGATGGCACTGATGGAAGTTGTCAGTAAAGTTTCTTCGGCTTTCATCGTAAAAGAACAAACTCACCTTCCCAGTGTTGGAGAAGTTTGGTTTGACTGTGGTGATGATGCCTGGGCATGTTGTGCTAGTCGTTCTACTCTCCTCGGTGAGTCTCTGAAGGAGGGGTTCTTCTTGTGTGATTTGGACTTGGATGCGCGATGTTTCGAAAAGCTGCCCTCTTGATGGCGCGTGCGGTTTGATGAGAACATGATGACGCGATGCTGAGATGCTGTGGTTACGATGGATGGATGCGGTGCGAAGAGGTATCGCTGATACTTATAGGTGCAGTGAGTAGGCAGCAAGCGTACAAGTACAAGTAGGCAAAGCAGACGACTCCGAAAGATCCTTAGGCAGAAACGTCGTAGGGCAAATAGGACGATAGCATGCAAGTACTAGGCGACTGCAGCCGTGTATATATACCTGACTCCTCACAGGAGGCCACTCTCCGGCCCTCGGCCAGGGTGAGGGTGAATTGCGACGCGATTGGACGCGTAAATGGACCTAACGCGTAAACGCGATATCACATGTTCCACTTTGCCTCTTCCAGAGCTAAGAGTCAGGACGGCTGAGCCCCCGGTCCTGGACCAAGTAACACTTGTGCAAGGTTGTGAAACAAGGGCGGAACAAAGAAGGCTGATGGCGCTAGTTGTGCGCTGGTGGCATGGCGTGTTCCTCTACCGCAAACAACTGAGCCCGCTCAGGACATGTTAGCAGGACCTGAGGACCGACACTTCCAATGTCTCAAACCGTACTTTTTGCTTGAGGCATGCGACGAGCATTCGCACGGCACGATAAAGTGATGAGATGACTGGTCGCGTTCTTTGCGCAGGGCTCTCTGAAGGGTTGAAGCTTTGGCCAGGCACCCAAGAAACTTTGCGAAAAGCAATCGACGCCGCCGCGGTGCAACAGCCAGCGTCGGCTCATCGCTTGCATCCGCGAATCAACGAATTGCGGCCGTCCACCGGAGGCCCCATCTAGAGGCCGTTTGGCGTTCCCCTGAGGGGCAAATGTCGTGTTGAAGGACCGATGGTGGGAGAGAGGCGTAGCGCGAGGCTGCGATCCGGTTCCGCGCAATGACAGGATTCGCGGCTGGCAAAGGCGATGTCAGCGACCATGACACGGTCCCTGATGCCGTGAAATTATGCGTCGCTGATCAATGAACCTCGGACGCGATGGGTCGCGTCGGTGGGGCTGGCCAGGCACGCACAAAGAAAAGCGCCCCTCGACGCGTCCTCGCGTCTTCACGTTACCTCCATGGCTGCCAATTAAGCCCGCATCCGGCATGGCGCGCAACGCTATCAGGGGACCCAACGGCTGCGCAGTTTCACTACGTCCGCAAACATCATACATGACGGCAGCAACACCCAGCCGCCATCATCGCTGTCGCATTAGCCGTTGTTCCTTTGCATACGACGTCATCGCAGCGTGGTAAACCGCGACGGTGGAATTCCACGACAGCTTACAGTCAATAGCGTCTGGATAGGTCGACTGCGGATACCAAAAGCCGTTCAAAGGCAGCTTTGATCATTAGCAAGATTCACGGTCCTGCGACACAAGTTCTGCTTTGAGCCCACCCAGGTATCGGCCCGTGTTAGGCAGTAGCTACTACACGATTGTCGACTACATTCACCAGTAGGGTATGCCAACAGTTGTCTACTACCCGGGTGAAGGGATCTCGGCAGTAGTTAACAGTACGCCGCTTGGCAGCCGAGACAGTCAACTTTTGCGTCGTCAAAAGCGAACTGCCTTAAAACAGGCGACAACTTCCAGCGCGCAAAGAACAGTGGATTCTCCACCAAGATCCGGCGCAGCATTTCCCCTCTCTTCTCTGCACCAGGCCATTTGCCCTGCCACACGCGTACATAAGGCACCATAATTTTCAAGGCCTCCCTAACCCACCTCCCTGCTCTTTCCTCACCAATCCTCCCCTTTTGTACCATCCGCCTCTCCAGCTTCCCCAAGAAATGCTCTCTCTCTTGCATGTTCTCTACCAACGCAGCCTGCATGACCGCTAGTAGGATATGTGACCGGATTGAACAGTCCAACTCATCCACCTTGATTGCTCCAACTCCTAGTCCGGCTGTCTCCTCCATCGCAACAGCGGCTAGGAACTCGACCTCCTCCTCACTCCCAATCTCTTCCTGCCACCCCCTCTGCAACGCTTGATCTGCAGTCCCTCCATCCGGTATCCCACACCAGAAAAACACTGGCTTGCTAGGTTCTGGTTCGACAACCTTACCCGAAGAAACCTGTGCGAGGTACTTTGCTTCCAAACTGTGTATATCATACAATCCCGACGCGACATTGAGCCCAAAGTGATGGGGCCCCCATGCTTCGCGGTTGTCCCTGCGATGCGATGGGTCAGATGTAGGGCTTGAAGATGAAGGGATCTTCTCCTCTCCCTCCAGCTGGGTGTTGGTGTTCGTGGACAACGCTTTTTGTTTCGATTCTGCGATGGGAGGTTTGTAGTACTCGTCTAGCCATAAGCGCGCATGTGGTTCTGAAAAGGGGGGTGTGCTGGGGTAGGCCGCGTGTAGGCGTGTCAAGGCTGTGTCAAGCGTGCGGAGGGCTATTTCAGTAATCGTGTCAAATGGAAGGACCGGTTGCCTGTGGCAAGTCCGCCCCACAGTGTAAGCCCAGCGGGGGAGCTTTAGGACATGTTTGGATACCGGATTATCACGCGGCAGACACAGTGGGGAGGACGAATCCGGAAGATCCTGGAGGTCCGGCATGCGGTAGAAGCGTGCTGTGTTGGGTTGGGTAAGGAATGCGGTGGAGTAGTAGGAGCGCCAGGCTGTGGGGTTCAAGAGGGCATGGTGCGCAATGTAGAAGGCGTCGAAGTCTGAGAAGGTGAGAGGGTCGTCTCCATTTAGTTGGTCGGTCCAGTGGTAGTAGGCTGCTGCGATCTGGGCGAGATAAAATATATCCAAGGTACTGTTTTATCTTAGTCACACACATGCAGGTGCCGGGTACATCGGTATGAGGGATTCTCATATGAGGATGTACCTAGGTAGCTTACCGATTGAAGCGGAGCTCGTCCTCACCAAAAGACCAGCCATGCGCGTGCAGCTTCTCCACAACATCGAATACGCCCTGGCCGTCCCACAGCCCCTCATCGATATAAATGTATGCAATCCGCAAGACATCATCGTGACATGTCACTGGCACGATTCCGCCTTCCACATTAGCCAGAAATTCCTTGGCTTTATCGTCCATTGTAGTGCCTGTCGTACGCAGAATGCAATTGCTGGAGTTGACCTCGGGATGTTTTGAAATTTGCCTCTAGGGCTGGGAAAGTAACAGCGCAGTTTCACTACATCCGCAAACATCATAAATGACGGCAGCAGCACCCAGCATGCTTTGGACGCATCATTTTGTGACGCATCGATGTGCGGTAGAGCTTTCCGCTCTCATAACGCCGTTCTTCGTCGTTTCTACCCCTCTTCATCACGCTTGACAGCCGAAACATGTCCCACATGTCGCACCGTCCAAGCTGTGTGAGCTGCCCTCATCTGCAGATCGGGATGATCGCCAACAGTCATTGCATCGTCAGTCGTCTCCTTAAGTCACGAAATTCGCCCTCTATTGGGTTCCATTTGCGTCGTTCGCTCCGCCGCTCCGCCGCTCTGCTTGGGTTTGCTCGCAGCCCGATCTAACAGCGCACGCCACACTTGTTCAACAGTATCTGAATCTAGCAAGGACAGGCCTCGGCATATGCCGTGTTCCGTCCGGTTGTAAGCATACGCCCCATCTACCATCTACTTCGATGTGCTTTTCGTTCGAAGGCGACGCACCGCCAGGGATCCTGATCCTTCGATCAATCGAATTGGACGCCAAGGACGTCGCCGAAGCTCTCCCAAGCTGATCTACTTAAGCATCACCAGTTTTCATGGGAACATAAATGGTTGGCTTCTTACGCAAGGTGCGAAATTGATGGAAGCCTCCGTCAGCATGTATTTCCAGCAAGCGCCATGCGCCTCCATACACGCGAACACTACCGGAGAGTCTGCCGCGCTGTGCATTATATGAGATATCGCGCATCTCCTTGCGAATGCCTCGATGCAGAATTTCGTGGCGCAGCTGACGAATACCACCACCTCAGGTGTACTGAGTAGTAATCAATGTTGATGTCCTACAGTTTCATTGAAACATGTACAAGCTTGGCACACACACCTTGCGCCCGGCAGAATCCTACCGAACGCCAGGGGTATCATAGCCGGTATTACATACGCCATATTGTCTGGTTGGGACTATCTGGCTTGCAAGGGATGAACAACGGCAAGGACGATCTTCCTATTGCCAATGGCACGTACTTGTACGCTGACCACGAACGTCAAGAGCTTCAGGCGCTTGGTCTGAACCTGTTTGTAGCTTTCGACACTTCCAATCTAAGAGACGAGGTACCACGAGGGTCTTCGCCATCGCACAACAGAAACAACCTTTAGAGCCCATTACGGGGAAAGCTCGATCTCAAAGTAAATCGGAGTTGAGTTCACAGTCCTGACCATGCGCCTTACATTACATACAAGGATGCTGACCGCTTCCAGTTGACTGCCTCTCATCAACGCGGTCAGATGCAGCTCAGGTCTTGGACACTAAAAGCATGGACTCTGTGACCACTCGTGGCCACCATGAATGGCATGCTGCAGACCCCATGAACAGGAATGGCTGTTCGTTAAGATAGTTATGATATTGGAACACCCTTGCACAGCAGTATTTCGTCGGTACGTGTGTTGCATGCCAAGGGTGTTCATTACAGCAGAGCTTTGTAGAACTTCGCCCCACGTCGGGCAACCCTCTAAATAAATGACCCAGCACATGCAGTAGTATGGCACGGTTGATGTTGGCCTGCATTGGAGAAGGAGGCTGATCATGGTGCTCGACATAAAAGCATTGAGATGCGCACTTGGCTGAATCGCCAGAAATCAATCGATGGCAGGCATTGCGGTTTTCAAGGCCCTTGTGGCATCTCTGTCTCTGTTCTCTAGCGCTTCAGCATCTCCTTTTACTCAGAGGCAAGACACGCTTACCCTCGACGGTGTTCAGAAGCAAGCTCTCGCAAATGCATACAAGGTACTGGATGGGACGCTATCAGACGGTCTGACGAGATCTGCGAAATGTAACAAGGACACTGTTGCTGTACGCAAGGAGTTGTAAGTAAGTTCGGGCACTGCTACGGTCATGATGCTAACACATGATAGCGGCGACCTCACGAAAGAGGAACGGAAAGCATACACCACGGCCGTCAATTGCCTGCTCAAGGCACCCTCTAAACTTCCTGCTGGACAATATCCTGGAGCAAAGTCTCGCTATGAAGACTTTGTTGTGGTGCATATGAACATGACACCGACGGTTCACGCCACCGCAAACTTCATGCACTGGCAC